CCACACCTTTCTCTCTGCAGTTCTATCAGGCGTAGGAGGCTGCTTTGATCCTTCCCCCACTTGGTCTCGCCCAAGGTGGCAGCTCCAGGAACAGCTGACCATATTGAATTAGAAAGCAATGGATTTCCTGCTTCAGCTACCAATTCCCTTAGCTGTAAGCCTTCCAACCTTCCAAATATTCCTTTATATGTGATTCAGAGTTCTGGCACCATCCCCTGAGCCTGCTTGGTCCGGTATATTGTGTTGTTGCTGACGGAGATTCTCACTGCACTTTCACCGAATCTGCCATCTTGTTTGTTCTCCTGATAATAAACTTTTGTCTCTATTTCACATCTCCATGTTAAATGTACTATCTCAAAGCAGTGTATATTTCCAATTCAATTTAAATAATTTTTAGCTTTATTTTAAATCAAAGCTCTTTTAATAAGCCTCTGTAAGTTATTCAGCATTTCTTAAGGTTAGAAATAACATTTAATTCCTATAAAATCATAGGTATTACACAGAGCATTGTGATATTTTTTTTTCAAAGATTTTAGTTGTTTAAGCACCAAAACCTGCTGTTATTATATACATTATTATATTCAATTAGAATGAATACAATTATCTTCTTTGCTGCACATGGACGTAAATTCACACAATATGCATGAAATTATTTATCAAAATTGCTGTAAGAGGATTATTTTCTTGGAAAAAAAAAGAAGTAGAACTATCAGAGTCCTAAATAAAAAAAGGTAAGGGGTAATCCAGTAAGATAGATTGGCACGGAGGCAGCAGTGGGTTCAAGCATACCAATGACTGTGAGGAAGGCCCAGGATTGGGCAGTGGTCTGTTCTGTTGTGCATAAGGTTGCTACGAGCAGGAACAGACACAACGGCACCTAACAACATAACCTGCTGTTATTGTTGCCATGTGCCATGGAGTCAGTTCTGACTCATAGTGACCCTGTGCAAGGTTTCGCAGGGGCAGCTGGTGGGTTTGAATCACCAACCTTGTGGTTAGTAGTCCAGTGCTTACCCTGCAGAACCACACCATGTAATCAATGGTAATTCATATATGTGACAAAATATACCAACAGAAAAGATTATCTGCCAAAAATATTGGGGATTAAAGGAAAAAGAAAAAAAAAAATGGAGTAAATATAAAAGTAACCCTTCTACTATTTGGTCTAAGTTCAGGCAGGAAGATATTTGCATTACTGCTATTAAGGAATCAAAATCTATTTGGTTACTGAGCTTAGAAAGAGATAATAGGTTTTCTTTATTCCTCATCTATTTCAAATTGGTTGTTATTAAGTTATATACATTTTTATTCACATTTACCTTACTAGTTCAGGATTTCATCTCTTCAAGGCTTGTAAAAAAATTCTTATCTTCCTACAGTCTATCCCTTCAATCTACTCCTGGAGTAATCCTATGGTTGTATGCCCAAAGGCCTATGCTATACAGGCAGTAGCTATTCAAACTCCAGTCTCTTCCATGACTTTTTCAGTAGAGCTGGCCACTATTCGCTTATGTGTGTCTGCTCCTTATATGCTTACAAACTTCTGTTAGAAGTTACTGGAATCATATTTCAATCAGAGGCAATTTTACTTCTTATAGATAATTCAGTATTGGATGGATACATATTTGGTTGTATAACCTGGGGGGTAGGGGGCAGGGAGTGAGAGAATTGATAAACACTCTACAAAGCACAACATATTGTTGCTTGCTCTCAAGTTGATTCTGACTTGTAGATATTCTATGTAACAAAGCAGAACTGCCCCATAAGTTGTTTATACTCCTTATGGGAGCATATCACCAGGTGCTACCTCCTGCAGAGTCACTGGTGGGTTCCAACTGTCAGCCTGTTAAGCGCTTAATCAATGTGCAACCGTGGTAGGGTAACCTCTACTACTAAATCTACTACAACAAAGAAATGTCATTAAATGTCAACCTGACCTAGAATATACTTCATGTTTAAAATTGTTGAGTGTTTGCTGTTGTTATTGGTAAAGTGCCAAGTGTGAGGTCAATGACTTGATTGATTTTCTAAAATAGATTGTGTACATGAGAAAATACATACTTCTCAGCCCACAAGAACGTAAAAAAGGAAAAGAGTAGATATTCTGATTTTTGATACTACTCTCTTGTGATTCTAATTGGAAACAAATTCTGGGTAAACAAAACAAAATATAACACTGGGGAAATCTCAACAAGGTATGTGATTTCATCATAAAGTTGTCTTTCCTTTGGTGGTTATATGATGTGGAGTCGGAACCAACTCACAGCGACCCTGTATAGGGTTTCCGAGGCTGCAAATCTTTACGGGAGCAGAAAGCCTCATCTTTCTCCCACGGAACAGCTGATAGTTTCAACTGCTGACCTTAAGGTTCGCAGCCCAATTTGTAACCACTATGCTACCAGAGCGCCTTGTCTTTCCTTTGGCACAGACTGTAAGTTCCATCACTCAGATCATTTCACTTTCTGTTATTCTTTCAAAGGATTATACTTTGATGAGTACAAGCTTAATACCAGAATTTTCATTATAGCAAAGGTTAAATAAATGATTTCACTAAGAAAATTTACAGTATTATTAAAACTCACTGGACATAAGAAAGAACATTCAAAATTGAATTTGATACTGTAATGCATTTTTAAAGTCATGTATAATTATCTTTAAAGTGGATGAAAGACAAAAACTGAATTCTCAGTATTTAACTGTTTCAGGTGAAATGTTTTATTGAGTCTGTAGTCCCTAAAATGTTCTGCAGATAATTCTTGCTTATAGTCCTGTTGCTGTTAAGTGCTGTACAGTCAGTTCCAACTCATAGTGACCCTGCATAGGATTTCCAGGGAGCAGCTGGTGGGTTTGAACCACTAACCTTGCAGTTAGCAGTCCAGTGCTTATCCTACAGTGCCACTAATTCTAGAACATACTGTTTAACCTGAGAGATGCTGCTCCTAACTGAATAGCGCCTTACTCAAAACTTGTAACACAAAGATATTTTATTAATGAGCTTATGCCTGCTTGACATGTTTTGTCTAGTATGTGGTTAAACTTAACAAAAGCACAGAAATTTGCACTAAAAAACATTTAATAATAAAACAAAATGAAGAGATTACTAAACACCTGGTATATGACAATGAGATACAATGGCTTTGTAGGGAATTAATTGGGTCTATTGAATCGAATCAATTTGACGGTACTTAACAACAATCACATGTATATTGTTAGTACAGTGGTGAGTATCCCCCACCTGTCATGCAGGAGACTATGGTTTGGTTCTCAGATGGTGAGGGCAGATGCCTTTGGACCCTGCTGTAAGGTCAGCACTGGATTGCAAATATACCAGTTGTTCTTCGGAAACTCTATAAGAGGGTCACTATGAGTCAGAGTCCACTTGATGGCACCTAACAGTAACATCACATGGAAGGCAAGAATTCCACCCCTGAATCACCAATGCCCCCACAGATGTGTTATATGATTCAAGCTAGTTAATTTGCATGATATTTTCTCCCTCTGATCTCTGGGTCGGTTCAAACCGCCAACTTTTGGGTTTGAAATCAGGCTCCTTGAAAATATTATGTAAATTGATATTTTATCAGTATTTTGGTGTCAATCTGCTAACTTATATTTGAAAGACATCAAATGGTCATTAAATACATTATATTATTAATCATAAACTTTTTAATAAAAATCTAAACCCTAGGTTGCAGCCAGAGCTGGCCTATTTCTATTGCCAGGGACATTGTGTATATTAGGAAAAGCTAAAAATAATCAAAAAGGACATTTCTTATACTTAGTCCAACTTGATTATAGAGTCAAGAACTTAAAATAGCTTTGAAATCTAGTTAGAATCTGGCCCAGAATCAGAAGCAATATCAAGTTAGAATATTTCATAGCATAGGACAGGGTACTATCAAGTTTTTTCTCCCTTCAATGCACCTAAGGTAAAAGACAAACTCAAATCAGTGTTTGGCTCACTGTGAAAGTGGTCCTACTCAACAAACTCCCCACTGTGAAAAACAAATGTTATCTATAAAATTCACATGAGATATAAAACAGATACAAACCTCTTCAAGAGCCTCTTCAGACTTGGTTTCCTTAGGTTTGTCATCATTAATCTTCACATTTTTCACCTGCTCTGACACCTTACTTACACTTTCAGTACCTTTGAAACGCTGTTAAGGAAAATGTTCTCAAATTTATCACGTTCAAGACAATCAGAAAATGAGAAGGGACATTTGTGTTTTCAGCTGCTTAAATGAATGAATTCTGTACCATGAATATAGGCAACAAACCTTTAATAAGTTACTGATAAATTTATGGCCATAATACCATCTTTGTCACAATTATAAAGTCTGAAATGAGAACCATGAATTTTAGAAAGGCCAGCTTAGCCAGAAATCCTACTATAAGTGATTGATGTCATTTGAAGCTGTGTAAATTGGTTTAATCTGTTTGGAATATAATTAAACATGTAGTAATTTAAAAAATAATTCTATTTACATGAGAGCTTTAAAAAAATTGATGGAAAAATGAAACTAAAAGACAATGGACACTTTCCACCATTGACAAGGAACTTTTTGAAGCTCCCTTATATGAATAAATGCTCAAGAAATAATTTGTAACTAAGGAGAAAATATCTTTATGCAATTATTCAACCACTAGTGTTCAGAACAGCAAAGTAACCACATATTTATCTACTCAGATTTTAATGATGTGGAAAATTTTAAAATGTTAAGTAAAAAAATAAATAGAAAATGCTAACTAAAGTCTCAACCATTAAGAATTAAACAAATACATGCACTGAAAATACATAGAGAAAATACTCAAAAATGTTAAATATGGTTATTTCTAGGTGGCAGAATTATATTATGTACTTGTGCTATTTAAAAATTAGCATGTATTATTTTTATAATCAGAAACTATGTCTGACTTGAGGAAACCTGTTAACATATGAGTATATTCCAAATTAGAAAAAACTTCTGTGGAAGATGATCATTTCACGATGAGCATATATTGCTGGATTTTCTAAAATTTGTTTTAAAGGATCAACCTAACTCTAAACCAGACTTTAAATTCATTAATGTAATGGAGCTTTTTTTTTTTTTTTATATGCAGTTTAAATGCTTAATATAATAACGCCAACTTTTCAATATCTTTAATTTAATCTCATTTTAAGCTGCTATAGTATTATTTCTAAAAATCGGACTCCTTTCAAAATATTAAAATATTCTGTCATGTTGCAGATTATCCTCCCTAGATCTGATCGCTTGTCCATTTATAAAAACTTCAAAATATAAATGCTAATACATGTATTTAAAAATTCCTTTTGGGAGTAAAATATCTAAAGGTTTTGGTAATAGAATTTAACAACACTCACCTTAGTTTCAAAAAGATGGTTATACGCTGCAACCAAATGGTCCTTATTAGCTGTTTTGGCCACATTTTTAATATTTCCTAGTAGCTTATGTTCTGCAAGAAACTACAAAAAAACCTGGTTAGCCAAAAAAATTTCTTCAGGTAAAAAGGGTCTAAAATTAGAAAGTGACTTTTTTTATGTCAGCAATTGTATTTTAAATAGTACTATTCGAACAGAACAAGGGAATACTAAATGGTTTAAAATCAAGTAAGATGCACATTAGGGTTGTATCCTTGCACTATACTTATTGAATCGGTATACTCAGCACATAATCCGAGAAGCTTGAAGAACACTGCCTTAGGACTGGGGGAAGAGTCTGGCAACCTGCTATATATAGATGACTCACCAGTCATTCCTCGGAAACCCTATACAGTGTTACTATGAGTCAGAACCGACTCGACAGCACTTAACAATACATACATATGACACAAACTTGACAGCTGAAAGTGAAAGCTATTTATTGAGAAAGATCTAAGACTATAGTTTTCAGTATGGATTATAGTGCAACAAAACCAAAACAAAAAAATCCCACAAAAATCCTCACAACTGGACCAATAAGCAACATCATGATAAGTGAACAAAAATTAATATTAAGGATTTCACTTTACTTGGATCCACAATCAACATTCATGGAAGCAGCAGTTAAATCAAACAACGTATTACATTGAGTTAATTTGGTACAAAAGACCTCTTTAAAGTGTTTCAAAGCAAAGATGTCATTTTGAAGACTAAGGTGCACCTGACCCAAGTCTTGATATTTTCAACTGTCTCAAACATGTGAAAACTGAACAATAAATTAAGGAAGTTCAAAGAATTGATGTTTTTGAATTACAGTGTTGGCATATACTGATTATAAGACTGCCAGAAGAACAAACAAATCTGTTTTGGAAGTGCAGCCACAATGTTCCTTAGAAGCAAGGATGGCAAGACTTTGTATCACTTTGGACATATTAACAGAAACGACCAGTCTCTTGAAGAAGGATATCATACTTGGTAAAGTAGAGGGTCAATGAAGACCCTCAACTAGATGCACTGACACACTAGCTGCAACAATGGGGTCAAATATGGCAATAATTGTGAGGATGGCATAGGAGCTTCTCCATGTACTTTTTGAGGCTCCCTCATGTTTATAGTATAAGGAGCTCTGGTAGCGTAGTGGTTAGGAATCAGGCTGCTAACCTCAAGGTCAGCAGTTTGAAACTACCTGTGGTTCTGCGGAAGAAAGATGAAGCTTTCTGCTCATGTAAAGATTTACAGCCTCGGAACCCTATGCGGGGTCATTATGAGTTGGAATCGACTCCACGGCCCATAACCACCACTATCAATGGAATATTAATAACAGCATGTATATTAGATGGCTGTTATAAAGATAAAACATAGTAATTCATTTGAAAATTCAGCATAAAGTAATCACATAGTGAAGAGCTCAATAAACATTAGCCATTATAAGTAATTTAACAACTAAAACTAATACATTTTTATTTCTCTAAAATGCAAATTGGCAGTTGATGTTTTTGCTAAGTATCATGGAGTTGGTTCTGACTCATAGCAATTCTATAAAGGGTTTCCGAGGAGTGGAGTGGTGAGTTTGAATTGCCAACATGTGGTTCGAACTGACCTTCTGGTCCAGCGCTTATTCTACAGTGCCACACCAGAACTCCGTAAATTGGCAGATGGGTGCCAAAGATGCTGTTGAGATATGAAGTCATATATTTTTCATGGAGACTTGGTGGCACAAGGTTACGCGACTGGCAGCTAAACCAAAGGATGGCAGTTCAAAGTCACCTAGAGGATCCAAGGAGGATAACAGACTTGGCTATCTGCTGCCATAAAGATGACACCCTGAAATCTATTAAAAGTTTCTGTCACATGGAGCTGATATGAGCTGGAACTGACTCAAGGCCATCTAACACTATAGTTTCACAAAATCATGTAACCTGTTGATTTACTTTAATAACTTGTTTTTCTCTATTTTCCCTCTTCTGCCTTGTCCTTGCTTGATTCCTTGTATTGTTACTTTCTCAAAAGTTGTCCATTAGTAGTTTTTAAGCTTTTGATAAAGCAGTTTTTCTAAGACGACTTGATTTTTAATTTATATTCTTTTTTGTTGGGATCTTCCTTTTAAAAGTGTTATACATATTAAAGGATACTCAGGAAAAGTGATTAAACAGAAGCAATTCGCTGTTTCATAATGCTTGTGATTAAGCAAGGTTCCAGAGACATATTCCTAATATAAACATTTCTTTGCTGTCTCGTAACCAGTGAAATAACTATCAGATATAAGTTTAAGTATCTGAACAAAGGAGAGCATGCATTTAAGATTGTAATGTTATGATAATGCAAGTCTCCTGAAACTGTCCTCTGTGGGCTATTTTTATATTGCATTCCACATTGGGATGACTTATTTGATGAAGTAGTTCTAAGACATTAAATGTTAATAGAGATATGACATGCCTATTCTAACAGCTAAAATATGAATCACAAGAAAATAATCCCATTAAATTGTATCAGATTCCTAGGCATGGCCTTTCTTATGCACTTTTAACTCCAAACACTGACATGGTTATTGTTGCTGTCATAGCTGTAGTTGCTAAATGCCATCAGTTCCAATCCACAGCATTTGCTGAATAAGATGCAGATGCTAGGAAAATTACTCAGGATTACAGAATTGAAAATTGGAGAGTTTGTATTTCTCTCCTTCATAACCTATCCACCATCAGTGGAAGTAATAAACAACCCTTTCACCGCAAACAATTTTTTATAGGTAAATTTAGAAAACAAATGAAATTTGTGCAAAACCAGATGCGGGCCGCAGCTTTTATTTCTGATGAATGGAGGATGCTGCAGGTGAGTACCTTCTACAAGAAAAGTGCATAGTAGTTAAGCAATTCCACACAGGCATGACTAAAATTAATATCGAAGTAAAAAAAAAAAAAAAAAAGGACCAAATCTGAAAAAGAAACTTGTGTCTACGGAACGGGTAGCTAAAATGGAGACAGCTGAAAAAGGCTGGGCGCTACAGTACGTAGAATGTCAATTCGTTTCGTTTATGTGCTTATAAAATGGGAACCCACAACACAAAAAATGTGCATTAAGCCCCCAAAATAAAAAATGGAGAAAAGGGTACATATTTTTAAAAACGGGTTTGAAAAACAGTATATAACTGTTAGAAAAGCACAACGCACACATCATTCCCATGGAAATCTTCGTGTTTTCCTAAGAGCTCACACACCACTCCAAGGGATTTCACCCAAGGGCCTTGTCCTTCGGTACTCACCATTCCCCAACCCCTCGCCCCATCCCTAATATTTCCCTGATTCCATTTTGAATGTCCTCCACCCCATCAAGGATCCCATGGAGGTTCCGCACAAGTGGGGTCAGACCGAGGGGCGGGAACGTTGTTCCCGAGAGCACGCGAAGCCAATACGGCCTCCTAAGCTATGGGCCTCGCGAGGACTGGGGCGGGGGCACCGAGGAAGACAGAATGTATGGGCATCTCCGGGGAGGGGGGGTAAAGCGTCCCTCGGCCACACAAGCCCTGCCGCCCCGCCACCTCTGGTACCGAGTCTGAACCGTGTTCCTGCAGAAACTTGATAATGTCTTTCTTGGGCAGCTGCTCGCTACGCAGTTGTTCCACGGTCCACGCACGCTGTGGAACGCTCGCCGCCATCTTCCCCCGCTGCCTCAATTCTACTGAGCTAGCCCGCCTGGCTCCGGATTACACCGCCCCTGGGGGGCGGGGCGTGAATCCCGCGAGGAGATCTAGGGAGCGGAGTTCTGCGTTCCCAGGCAGGATTGGGGCCTGTCCTTGAGTGACGTCAAGGCTGTGCTATGAGGGCGTCTTTGTTGGGTCTGAGTAAAACCAGTCCACAAAACCGTAGCTGCTTACGTGCCTAAGACTATAAATCGTCATCTACTTCTAATTGGATACGTTGTGAGGAGATCTCTTATTGTGGTGATGCTAACAGCTTTTACCCACCCTTGCTTATTATCGATAGCTGCAGTGCCTTTAAAGGTCCTGTCTATACTCTTCTTTCGGAGTCCTGGTGTGACACTATGGGTTAATGCGCCAGACTGCAAAGCCGTTTGAACTGCAAGGTTGGCAGTTCAAGCTCACCAGCTGTTCCTTGGAAACCCTGTACAGGGTCGCTATTGGTCGGAATCGACTCGACGACACTTAATAACAACATACACTTCTTTCAAGAAAACAACAGCATTCAGACGCCTAATCTCATTTGGTTCTAGTTTAAAAATCCACACCTAAATTGTCTCGTCGTTGCCCAGTAGGTTATTAAAACAACCTATTCCCACTATCTCTCTTCCAAAACTTGCACAGGAAGCTAAGATACAATCTGCTCCTTCAGGCTCTCCTCCATCACCTCCCCTTCCCCTCCCCGCCCTCCCCCACCCCCCACGCACGAGAAATTAAACGCAAGTTTAGAAGCTTGAACAAATTGAATTTAAAAAAATATAAAGGCACTGCACGCAGTCTGCCTCTTCTGCTTTGGACTAGTGGCGGATGCTGCTGATGATAATTGTGTTGTGTATCGTGGAGTGGGTTCTGATACGTGGTGGTGGTGGTGCATCGTGGATTTCTGTTAACTCAGGTTGTTAGGTGCCATCGAGTCGGTACCGAATTATAGCGACCCTATGCACAACAGAACGAAACACTGCCCAGTTTTGAGCCAACCTCACAATTGTTGCCACGCTTGAGCCCAGTGATGTTGCCACTTTGCTAATCCATCTCGCTGGGAGTCTTCCTTTTTCTCTGACCCTCCAATTTACCAAACATGATATCCTTCTCCAGTGACTGGTTCCTCCTGACATTGTCTGAAGTATGAGAGAAGGCCTCCAAGGAGCACTCTGGCTGCACTTCTTCCAACACAGATCTGTTGGTTCTTTTGGCACCCCATGGTATTTTCAATATTCTTCTCAAACACTGTAACTCAAATGTGTCAATTCTTTTACGATCTTCCTTATTCACTCAGGTTTGTTGTTATTAAGCGCCATCGAGATGGTTCCGACCCATAGCGACCCTGTATAGGGTTTCGAACGACCGACCTTGCAGTTGAAACGGCTTTGCAGTGTGGCGCATTAACCCACAGCGCCACACCAGGATTCCTATTCACTCGTTGTTGTTGTTAAGTGCCATCGAATCGACTCCGACCCATAGCGACCCTGTATAGGGTTTCCAAGGAGCAACTGGTGAGATTGAACCACCGACCTTGCAGTTCAAATGGCTTTGCAGTCTGGCACATTAACCCACAACGCTACACCGGTACTCCTCATAGCGAGCTGTATAAACGGGTTTCTGAGAGCGGCTGTGGATTTGAACTGCCCACTTTATGGTTAGCAGTCCAGTGCTTATTCTACATCACCACTAGCGCTCCCTACTGATATTAATGAGGGCGGCATTATTGATGTTCAGAATAATCCCGTAAGGAAATACATAGAAAAGTAGGGAATTGTAGCCAAAGCAGAGATACAAAGCTATTGCTAGAATAAAATAAAACCACACTGACGCTTACTGCTCTTTATCTGATAGAAAAGGACGACTATGTCTTTTCTTCTTTCCTTCTGGATTATCGAACGAATAACAGGGCAGACTGCTTATCTCTTAATAAAAATGTTAAAATAGTGGGTTGTCAGTCCTTATAGGTAGCCTTTTGTTTTCTCAGTCTGGACATAGAAATAGGACGAATTACTTGATACAGCTATACATTTTTGCTATTCACTTCATCTTCCCATTTAAAAATAAAAATCACTACAAGGACTACTGCACCTAGTTAAGTGCCGTGTAGTCGGTTCTGACTAATAGCGACCGGTACAAAGGGTTTTCAAAGAGCGGTTGGTGAGTTTGAACCTCCGACCTTGTGGTTCAAACCGATCTTGCGGTCCAGTGCTTTATCCCACAGCACCACACTAGGACTCCAAAGGAACTATCCCTGGCAGCGGTGGGATTCGAACCCATGTGCCTAAAGAGACTGGACCCTTAATCCAGCACCTTAGACCTCTCGGCCGCATTACTTAGGCACCTTAGACTGTCAATAACGCTAACTGTGCAAATGATAGGTTTTTCATTGTCTTGGGATTTCGAGATCATTATCTTTTTAAACGATATCACGTTAGTAAAACACTCTTGTTCTGTAGAAGCGGAACTTAATTTGGACTCTATAACAATAGTAAAAAGGGGACCAAATTTAGAGTTACTCCTCAATAGTGCGCATGCGTCCTTATGTGGGCCCTGAGGGCTTCCGTATAGTCAGCCAATTGTATTTCCAATGCAAAATCTGGAGCGGCATTTTCAAGTGGGTAAACTGGCCTCAGTCCCGCCTTCTCGCTCTACAATTTCGCGTGAAAGAAACCGATGGGGCTCGAAGCCGTGGCGGTTAAGCAGTTTCAGCTGCCGGTGTCTGAGCAAAGCGTTTGGTGGTCATCGGCGTAATGAGCGGACGGCAAAGAACGCTTTTCCAGACGTGGGGTTCAAGGGTCGTCCGATGTGTGGATGCTACGAGTCACATCTCCGGAACCGATCGGCCTCAGAGCCCTGATAGTTCCAGGTCGTGTTTACCTACATCGGCAGACTTTACCGAGGCTCAGCCGGAGCCAGACGATGATGTGTTTCTTGTCGCAGCGTATGAGGCTGAGCGGCAGCTGAGTCTCGAGGATGGCGGGTTCTGCAAGTCAGCAGGCGCCCTGTGGATTTACCCAACCAACTGCCCAGTGCGGGACTACCAGCTACACATTTCCCGGACCGCTCTGTTCTGCAACACGCTGGTTTGTCTACCTACCGGACTGGGCAAAACCTTCATTGCCGCCGTGGTCATGTACAATTTCTACCGCTGGTTCCCTTCTGGCAAGGTAGTCTTCATGGCGCCCACGAAACCCTTGGTGGCACAACAGATCGAGGCATGCTACCGGGTTATGGGTATCCCACAATCCCACATGGCCGAAATGACAGGTGCGTTATCTTAAAAGCAATAGACGTTTTGGAGTTAAGATCTGGGTACTCCAGGGGAAAGCACCCGTTTTGATGGAAATAAAATCCACTGTCGTCCAGTCGACTCAGTAGCCTATAGGACAGCACAGAATTCTCTTATATAGAGTTTCCAAAGTTGTAAAACTACCGAAGCTGACGGTTGTATCTTTCTCCCGAAGAGGCCCTGGTTGTTCCGAAAAGGACTCATTTTGTTTAGAAGGCGAGCCCTCTAATTTAATCAGTGCTTCACCATGGTGTACCTTTCTGTTGGAAATACAGTTAGAGAAATTTCGTACCCCTGTGGATTACTCTCAGATTAGAATATGCCCATTTTACGTTATTCCTCTTAAAACATCTACTACTGGTAGCAAGTCCAGTTCTAATGACTAACTTGCTTAATTTAATCGTCAGAGAAGCTCCGAGGATTTTTAACTAGAGCGTTTTGAAGGGATTATGTATATACCTCTAAAAACTTCCCACGTGAAGAAGTGACTTCTCTTTAAATATTATACTATTTTGTAGGAATTATGTAAAGACACGTCAGCTGGCAAGAGCCAGCTTTGACATTTTTACCATTTAAAAAATATAGTGGTCTGATGAATTGTCAAATTGTTTTCATGCTTAAAGCAGATTGCCAATGCACAGATGCATTGTGAAAATAGACCAGATTATTTTACAAATAGCAATCTAGAGTTTAGAACTAGCATGTCTCTTTTATTTACAGGAACAACTCAAGCTTTAACCAGGAAGGAAATATGGCATAATAAGAGAGTCCTTTTTCTTACACCTCAGGTCATGGTAAATGACCTTTCTAGAGGAACTTGTCCTGCTGCTGAGATAAAGTGTCTAGTTGTTGATGAAGCTCACAAAGCCCTGGGAAACTATGCTTATTGTCAGGTAATCATTTTGTTAAAAGATATTTTGTGGTATAATCATATTGATAAAGAGTACTTGGGGGAATAATTATTACTGATGGAAGTTACTTAAGATTGTTGTTGGTGTTAAGTGCTTCGAATTGGGTCCAACTAATAGCAACCCTGTATAGAGTTTCTGGGAGTCCTGGTGTGGTGCTGTGGGCTAGTAAGTCAGACTGCAAAGTCGTTTGAACTGCAAAGTAAGTGATTCAAGCTCACCAGCTGCTCCTTGGAAACCCTATACAAGGTTGCTATGAATCGGAATCAACAAAAATAGCGTTTCTGAGGAGCAGCTGATGGAGTTGAACTGCCAGTTTTGTGGTCCGAAGTTGAGTGCTGATCCTCCAGAGCCACACCAGGAGTTCTATTACTGTTGATACTATTGAGAAAAACCTTAGAGTAGATAGATGGTGATAGAAAACAATTTATCAATTCAAATCATTATCTTGGGTGTGTTTTCAAAACAAAACAAAAAAAACCGTAACAGGATCATTAGTGTCAGATGTAGAGCTTCAGAACCTGGTTATAGTTGGAGTAGAGTTCTAGAGTAGATTATAGGTGGAGTTGTGGAACTGAAATAATAAGCCAAAGAGTGGTATGGAATATACAATGGTATTAGTTGGTAGCTGGGTAAAATATTGCTTCACTTCTAGGATTGTTCTAAAGATTCAATGACTTAATGTATGCAACGTATTTAGCACAGTGCCTTCTAGTTGAGCACTATAGGTACATAAAGTACAAAAGCCCAAGTTATAGGATATGACTGGAGAGGAACAGATCATGAAGGGATTTGTATTTTATGCTTAGCAGTTTAAATGTACTTTGTAGACAATAGGAAATATAAGCAATAGACACTCATTACATTTTTTTTAGCTGGTGTAATAATTAAAACTTAAAAGCAATTAGAGTGAGAAGGCTAAAAATGTGTAAAAGTAGGGGTAAGAGGAATTTATGATCGCTCAGGTTTCTGAACATGATAGACTGTGAGGATGTTGGTGCTGCTAATCAGGATGGATAGACAGTTCTGGAGGAAGAGCAGATAATGGAGAGAAGGGCCTGGAAAGATAATGAATGCAGTTTTAGGTGTGTGTTGAATTTGAGACATCTATGAGGAGTCCTGGTGTAGTGCTTTAAGGTTAGCACTGGACTGTTAACCACAAGGGTGACTACTCAAACCTGTTAGTTGCTCCTTGGAAACCCTATACAGGGTCACTATGAGTTGGAACCAACTTAATGGAAAACAATTACAAAATGAGGCATCCAGTTTTAAATATCTAGTAGGCAAAAGGTGAGACAAGTATGGATCTGTAAGGGACAGGGTATACATTAAGAACAGAAAAGGGAAACAGAAGAGGAAAATCGGTTTCATTTAGTGTAAAGAGATGAATTTTACTGCCTCTTTAGGAATTTGTAAAATAGTCCTTTCAGGACTTTAAATGTTCTATTTCTGTATTATCTTAGGGAGTCTTGTCATCTTTTTTTATAGTTGGTTTTCTCATACAGGAAATGATATATTTTGCCATTTGTATTCTACAGAAAGAAGTACAAGTTTGGTTAATGTAAAACCAAGTTTTATTAATTGCAAAACAAAAAAACCCCAAAACCAAACCCAATGCCATTTAATTGATTCTGACTCGTAGTCACGCCAGGGAACAGAGTAGAACTGCTCTATAAGGTTTTTTTTTTTAATGATTTATTGTGAATTATGTGATAGTTTACATGGGAGAACATCAGTCTTATATTCATTCTGTCATATATCGTCTCATTGCCATGGTTACAATCCCCTCCATGCAATCCTTCCTCCATATCCCCCAGGTCTTCAGCACACAGTCACTCTCCCTCTCTGTATCTAAAGTCTCCAGCTGCTCCATTGCTCCACGTCATCATCTCTGGCTCCATTTCAGGCATCACTGCTTCTCTGGGTAGGGTCCCGCTCTCAGCTCTTCTCCCTGGATGGTCCTAGGGACCTCCGCTCCTAGACTGAAAAGTTAATCACGTCCCTCCATGCTATAAAACATCCACCTTTACATTTCCAACCCTCACAAACAGTCCTGATAACAATTATTCACTATTGTATCACAAGAGACCCGTCTGTATTTCATTGCATCAGCTCCACCTAGTCTGATTGAATACTACTCACCGGAGATTCTAGCTTCCTCCAGGCCCTCTGGATCTAGGTTCCCTCTTGAAAGCTTGTAAGCCAGTCACTTCTTGCCTTTGTGGCCACCCACCCCCCATTTTGGGTAGCCAATGTCTATAGGGTTTTTGAGATTATAAATATTTACGGGAACAGATAGCATCATCTTTCTACTGAGGAGTGGCTAGTGGATTTGAATTGCCAACCTTGAGGATAGAAGCCCAACATTTGACACATTGTGCCACCAGGGGTCCTTTTATTTTTGTTACAGTTTTATTGTGAATTATGTGATAGTTTACATGGGAGAATGTTAGCTTTACATTCATCCTATTGTATTTCTTTTCATTGCCATGATTATAATCCTCTCCATGCATCTTCAAACAACCAAAGGGTACACAAGCCTGCCTCCTGCCACCAGGGCTTCTTAAATGGCAAAAGTTTTGTAAAACAGGGAAACACAGAGTTAAAGGAGCTTGACAAAGCTCCAAAATGCTATAAGGAGCTTAAAATTAAAGAGGTTGATAGAGATAAACACTAATTACGGAGATATGTTTGATGGAATAATATTTATAAAATTGCAGGTTGCAGAGTTTGATTAAGCACTTTTTGCAGAAGTTGACTGCTTTTGCAAAGAGGTGTCTTTAGGTGACAAACATGGAGTTCAGAAAGAGAACTAACAAAAAGACAGATGAGTCTAAGGGTATGGCTTAACCACTGAAGCCATATGCTTAGCACCACCTACAAATGGAACAATCTCTTCTTAACACTGCTCATTTTAAACCACAGACTCGGATAAAGCAGAATAAGGTGAGCAAAACTGCATTGTTTTCCCTGTAGAACTGTAATATCTAGGTTAAAGGTTCAATGGAAATTTTTACAGAGGTGCCCATTTGTACTGTATAACAAAGTCTGTTTTAAAAACACAAAATTGAATTACTTAGCACAGGAAGAGACTTGGCCTGAACCTCTGCCAAAAGTTTTAGACACTGCAAAGCCTTAATTTTAAGATGTTCTTCCTCGGTATTTCTCTAAGTAAAGATTAATATCTAACATGTTAAGGTTTTATTTTATAAATTTCGCTTGTAGTTAGCACTTTAACTCATTTATAAAAAGACAAAAATTTTAGGTATTAGTGATTTTTTTTTTGAAAAAAAATAAAGCTTGTTTTATTGAATACAATGAAACATGTGTTGACTTCAAATAACCAAAAGAGCCCCCAGTTTAAGGTACTTTTGAGTATTCCAGATATAGGTTCTACCTGGCACACTCAGGTAGCTCCCTAGGTTACAAGCACAACACATCATTTCCTATTGTAAAAAATGCTTGAAAAGCCTTTCCGAAAATAAGTAATGTGTTTGGTTAACTTTTCCTGTAGAACAGTTCTGGTAGGCATATTGGTTAAATATTGTCTATGACAATCAAATGATCTCACTTAGAACTGACAAAACAGCCTCACAATCTGAAGAAATATTAGTTCTTTTGTGCAAAAAGTATTTCCGAAAACACCAATCCAATAAATGACCTTTTTTTCTTTTTGCCAATACTATGACTTATATTTTTCCTTCTATATCTAAGGGTATTACTTTCAACACTAAGGTAAATGGGAAGGGTTATCAGGGTCATTTTGCTTTGCATCAATTTTTTTTTTTTTTAATTTTGTAAGATTTTATTGTGAACTGAGTGATAGTTTACATGGGAGAACATCAGCTTTACATCATCATTTCATTACAATGATTGCAATCTCCTCCATGCATCATCATTCAGCAATATTTGTTTCCATTTCCTGTTTCTTTTTTGTGGGGTGGAAGGGAATGTACACAGAAATACTAAGGAATATTTAATAATTTAAACAAGCAAGGGCACATTCTGCAAGCCTGCCTCCTGGCCGCCAGCACCCAGTCCCTCTCTTTCATGAGTCCAGAGTGCTCAGCTGCTCCCTCACTCCATGTCATCATCTCTGTCTCTATTTCTGGTGTCGCTGCTTCTCTGGATAAGGTCCTGCATTCTGCTTGTGCTCTTCTTCCTTGATGGTCCTAGGGTCCTCTGTTTCTGGACAGTAAAAGTAACCACTCTCCTGTTTTTGTTACAAAACTTCTCCCTTTACAATTGTGACAGTCGCAATTAGTCATGATAACAATTATTCACTATTGAATCATGCAAATGTTATCCCCATCTCTTCACCACACCTGTCTGAACAAGATGAAAACTATTCAGTGGGGACTCTTTTTCTACCCCCCCACCCCATACTCTTAAACTGAACTCCCTCTTGAAACCTTATAATCTAGTCACTTTGTGCCTTTATAGCTCCATCCTTTTAGGAACCAATGTCTAAGTTACCCGTCCCTATCTACCCTGTGTAAGCCCATGGGAGAAAAACTCACCAGACCTTCATTTGCTGATGGGGCACAACTCAAAATGAAGAGAAACAGCTGTAAACATCCATTGAAAATCAGAACATGGAATGTATGAAGTATGAATCTAGGGAAAATTGGAAGTTGTCAAAAATGAAATGGAAAGCATAAACATCAATATCTTAGGCATTAGTGAGCTGAAATGGACTGGTATTGGCCATTTTGAATCTGGTTTACTATACTGGAAATGACAAATTGAAGAAGAATGGTGTTGCATTCATTGTCAAAAAGAATATATCCAGATCAATCATGAGGTACAGTGCTGTCTATGATAGGATAATATCCATGTGCCTACAGGGAAGCCCAGTTAATGCCGCTATTATTCAAATTTATGCACCAACCACTAAAGCCAGTGGGGATGAAATAGAAGAATTCTACCAACTTCTTCAATCTGAAAGTGATCAAACATGTGATCAAGATGTATTGATCATTACT